CCTTTTAAAGTCTCTGCTCTTCATTCGTTCGTGCACCCAAACCTTTAAGCACCTGCTAAACGCCAAGCACATAAACTGTGTATCTGTGTGCTTGTGTGTACATATGTACATGTGTGTGTCTATACACACACACATCTGTGCACACGCATTCATCAGGCCACGATGTGAAACATAGTTCTTCTTTTGGGAAATGGCTGAAATTTAGAAAAGCCACTGCTCTGTGAGTGGCAGGGCCCCTGGTGGGATGGGAGGTTGAGCTGAGTGTCCTCCACTGCACACGTGACCACCACTAATGGCTGTGCCTAAAGGGACAGGCACAGGCTTCCTCTCCCTCATTCAGGCTCAGAGGCAGACGCTCCAAAACCCCAGGGCTGCAGCGAGGGGTGGCCCAAGCACTTAATCTCAAGCAGAGGGTGCTCTCCAGCCCAGCCCAGCCCACTTGGGCATAGCCTCCACCTCTGGCCTAAGACCAGCATTACCTTGTGTGGCTCCGTCCTCCTCGTTCAGGAAGGATAGGCAGAGGGCCTCGACTGCAGGGTGGAAGGGGGTCCCCGCTGGGCCCTGGGCTGCTACCAACTGCAGCATGACGGTGTTGAACAGGCAGGCCACGCTCTGCTCGGGCCCCGCCGGCCCATCGGCTCCACAGAGCCGGCTGTACAGCTTAAATATGCTACTCTTCACGGCACTGTCCTTAAGAAGGTCAGCCACAACTGCCGTCTGTGGCAAAATGTGCTTCTTAAGCCAGCTAAGGAGTCCTGCGGCCTCTGCCCTGCTGAGTGGGTGCTCAGCCACAGACTGCAGCACCCAGCGGACCACCAGGGAGGTGACAGTGTACTCAGGGCCCGGCGCCTCGCTCCTGGGGGTGGCCTCATCTGCAGGCTCCTGAGCGGGTTCAGGGCTGGGGAATACTGGCCCCCAGTGGGTCAGTATGGACCTCAGGAGGCCTCTGCACTCCTCCAAGCTGGACGCCTGCAGCTCAGGGTCGGCCACCACCTCTGCCACCTCAGGCCTCCTCTTCCGGCCCCGTGGGCCTTTGGCTCGGGCTGGCATGACAGGCTTGTTCTTATCCTTGAGCATTTCTGTCATACACACAGAGAGAAGACAGGGGTGAGACCGGCGTACCTCCTACCCCACAGACCTGGGGGGCGGGGCCTGTAGTGGAGGAGGGGAGGGCGCGAGGGGAGACAGCTCACAGGCATGGTGCTTGGCACTGCCCCATCAGGGCACACTCCCATGCTTGGGGCACAGCAGTGTCGTTAGTCATAACAGGGGAGCCCCCCGAGAGTGGCAGAGCTGGAACGCAAAGCCAGGTCCTCTATCTCCCCTCCAAGGCCACGATGATGGATAGGCCTGTCTCTAAGCCTCATCCACTTTGGAAATGCTGCTCACGGAGGGAAAGATGCTGGCTGCTCTGGGGGGGAAGTGAGCAAAGCCTGGGGAACACGAGACAGTCACGGGCCCCGACACTCACTCAGCAGCCCCCTGACTTGGCATTTCTCCACGGCTGTGCTCAGGTCCTCCTGCAGCTTGACGTCCCTCTCGAGGAGGCTCCACTTGTGCAGGAGGACGAGGACATCTGTGGTGGACAGCACCATCTCATTGACGGTGAAGCGGTCCATGTCCTTGAAGGCCTGTGTGACGGTGGCCCGGTACCTCAGCACAGAGTCGAGCGCCCCAAAGAAGCTCATCAGCTGGGTGGAGGCCAAGGTGGGCCTGTCAGGAGCCAATGGCACAGACTGAGCAAAAGCTGCCCAGGACCAGGGCGGTCGCTGCAAATCAAAGACGCCAACAGGCCACCCATGCGCGACCCAGGCTCCTTCCTATGACAGACGTGAACCGGGACTGCTGGCACAGGGAACAGGGAGAAGCGAGCACCCTGGGGGAGGCAGAAGGGCCTGGAGTCCAACTCCGCCTGGAGGCACAGGAATCTCTCTGGAAATCGCAGCTGACAGAGAGCTGGGCAGAGAGCCCGGAGGCCAGGGCACCAGCCCCACAAAACCGTCGCGACCCGGGCTTCCTCCCATGACAGACGTGAACCGGGACTGCTGGCACAGGGAACAGGGAGAAGCGAGCACCCTGGGGGAGGCAGAAGGGCCTGGAGTCCAACTCCGCCTGGAGGCACAGGAATCTCTCTGGAAATCGCAGCTGACAGAGAGCTGGGCAGAGAGCCCGGAGGCCAGGGCACCAGCCCCACAAAACCGTCTCCTGCCGACTGCTCTCCGTCTCCTCGACTCTCAGACTCAAGTCAAGAGGCTCAGGAAAAGCCCTGGGACAGCACTGCCCACGGCCAGTCCCGACATGGCCGCTGGGAGGAAATCCGGCCCTGAACGCTAAGGAGTCTAAAACCCAGCACCATCTGCTCCAGTCCTTACTCCAAATAGCAGTCAGCTCTCAGAGACCAGGGTGTCTCTCAACAACCCCCATGTGAGAAACACGGCAATCCGGCACCGATTTCACAATTTAATTCAGAACAACATAAAACCAAATGCCCTGTTCTTTATCAAGTTTTCATTCTGAGATTACGATCCATTCCAATTAGCATCCCTCTGTTCCCAACTCAGAAATATGAGTGCACACAGTGTATTTTCCCTGACACAGTAAAATCTGAGGAGGATTTAGCTCGCTGAGAAAATCAAAAGCACCATTCCAAGGAGCTGGATGAAAACATTGAAGTTTTCAAGAAATTTGTGGACAAGTGGGTTGGTGCAGGCTGAGGCAGAGGCAAGGCTAAGGACACCTTAACTTCCTTAGGTTAAGGTCATGGAAGACACGTTCTTTCTACAACACGTCACTTTGCTTGAATCAAAATATCAAAGTAGGTGGTCTGCCTGCTAAAAGTGACCTGGTATGACAAGTTTCAGGTTTTGAGAGTGTGCAAAGTTCTCATGGCCTTGAAAAGAGTGTCGTTAAGCTGAAGCAAAAACGGGAAACAGCTAAAACAGGTTTCCTGACATCACCTGCAACTGGCCCAGCTCAACGCCAGGCCAACCACTGACAGGCCCTCTGGCCCAGAGCCTACCTGTGAGCTTGAACTGGGAACTTAGAGAGGTGACATTCACAAGTGACCACCCCCAGGGGTCAGGCCGGGTCGGGGAGGGCTTACCTCAGGTGCTTCGTGAGCACAATGAGAACATACAGGAACTCATCCACCAAGTGCAGGGCCAGCAGCTTCGGGGGCCCTGAGGCCCCAGGCTGGCAAGGAGGCCGGCTCCCCGCCTCCACTCCTTTGTCTCCCAAGTTGGTCACCCACAGGGTGTGCAGCAAGGAGATTATGTTGGAGAGCAGCTGAGTCTCCAGAAACCTAAAACCGAATATAGAACGCTCACTCTGTCACAGCCTCTCCTTTCGCTGACGTCTGTTGGAGGGGTGGGCGGGAACCACAGAATGCGCTGTGACGGTGGTGGCAGTATCTAGCGGTGGCTTAGCAGGCCTGTCCCCTCCTCTAACAATTCCATCTGCTTATCCCCCCCTGCCCCACCCCCACCCTGCAAGCGACCAAATGGGCACAAAGCCCATGAAAAGAGGACGGCTACCAACCCAGCCCCGACACGGCAGAGGCCGGCTCCCCTTTCTAACCAGACGACCACCCTAAGCCCCGACTAGAGGGACATTCTGCAGCCGCTGAGGGGGAGTAAGAAGAGCTGTCCCGTTCAGGAGAACAATTCGACTTCCAAAACAAAGTTAACAGCCAGGAAGAGAGAATTAGCCATTTATGCCTTTTATGAATCGGAAACAAGTCTGGAAGCTGATGAACAAAGACACATTCTAGATTAAGGATACCACTTTCTCTTAGAGAATGTTTTTTAAATACTTTTTAAAATGGACGAAGGGCCTGGATGTCCCTGGGCTCATAAGAGTAGTCAGTTCTTTGGGAGAAGCTACCTCCCGCCAAGTGCTGCCCACTAAGACAAGGTCCTTAGCCTTCCAGACAGCCTCAAACTTAGGAGACTAATAGGGATCAAAACAGATCATCAGGCTATGGACCGAACTGTGTCCCTCCTAAATTCACACGTGGAAGCCCTAACCTTCAATGTGACTATTTGGAGGTGGGGCCTCTGGGAGGTGACAGGCTTAGATGAGGTCATGAGGGTGGAGCTCCCATAACGGGATTAACGCTCTTATAAGGAGAAGAGACCAGAGCGCTCTTCCTGCCTTGTGAGGACCCAGCAGTCTGTAAGCTAGGAGAGAGCTGTCACCAGAGCCTACTATGGGGCCCTCTGACCTCAGACTTCCAGCCTCCAACTGTGAGAAAATCAATCCCTGCTGTCTGAGCTGCCCTGTCTGCTAAGTCACCATGGCCCCCGAGAAGTGAGACGAACACCCACTGGAGCCTTTCCTTGCTGTTCACTGAGCCCACAACCCTGGGCAGAGAGGAGCACTGTGACCCACCATCGCATGGGGGACTGACGCTCCTGAAATGGGAGGCCTGTTTCTACCTTGGGGGCTGCAGCGCTGAACCTTTAGATGGATGATGCCCCTCCAGGGGAGGAGCCTGGGCTGTGCAGACAGAGGCCGGCGCAGCATCCGCCAAGTGCGAACAGCAGCTGGCTCCTGTCATTCCACTCAGACAAGACCCTCAAAGACTTAAACTGAGGAAACGCCATTTCAGCACTATCAGGAGTTGGTGACAGGCATGTGGTGGCATTAGGGGACACTTTCAGACAACACGTATTCTACTGGACATTTCCGGTCGACGCTAAAGCCTGCAGCAAACACCAGTCTCCGTCCCACCCTCCTCCCACCTGACACACACCTCTCATCCACGAGGCGCTTACCTGCTCTCAAGGATGTGCAGGATCCACGTTAGAAGGCTGTAGTCTCGCAGGATCTCGTAGGCAGATTTGGCATCCCGGGCGGCATTCTGCAAGATTTCCAGAACCCAATTCTGAAAACCCAAAACAAAAAGTTTCTCTTCAGTGGGAAAACCTAACTTGATCGAAGGAACAATTCGAAAATATGAAACTTGTTATGGTTGCAGGTGACGACTGCACGTGCTGCTTTGCTAAGTCTGTAAGAGTGATGGCAGTGTAGGAAAGTGCCCTTTCCCCGCAAGTGACAGCTAGAGGACACAGACCTGCAAGGCAACCGCCGGGCCTCGGGGGAGGCCCACTTCTGCTAATCCATCACAAAGAACCAACCCACAAGCAAACATGCAGCGCACACACCACATGGCCCAGATCGGTCCAGCCATCCACGGTTGGTGGCCCATTGGTCTCAGCTTTATCGCCGGGGAAGGAAGACATAAAAATGGGACTGCTCCTCAAACTGTGAACTGCATGCTTTAGAATTCTCACATGCTATGAGAAGTAAGAAATTACCATACTCAAAGTCAGTTTATTCAAATGTTTCTTAATCGCGACTCACTTTTATTTACCCGCATAACAAAAGCTAGAAATTCACCTAAATACCAGGGGCTTTGCTATGTTACGTCCTCCTGTCCGTGGCACTTAGAACGCTCCCGCATGAGTGCTTGTTCTAGGGGACAGTTAGCGTGCTGGTTCCCTCATTAGCTGTGAGGCAGGCAGTGACAACTCCCAACTCTTGCTTCCCAGCTGAGTTGTGATGACCCACAGCTTTTGGGCTGGTTCCCTCATTAGCTGTGAGGCAGGCAGTGACAACTCCCAACTCTTGCTTCCCAGCTGAGTTGTGATGACCCGTCTGTCCAGGGCATTAGGTGAAATTGTGGTGGCTTGAGGGTGTCTCAGGGGAAGCACCTCGGTCATTTATGGGGGTAATTTGTTCCTACACTTCATAGCCAGCTCCAACGGCTGACACTTACTGCCCAGCACAGCCTCCTGCAGAGGCCTCGCCACCAGGGGAGGGCAGTGAGGGGGCAGCAACAGAAGCGACAGGACAGTGTCAACACCACAGCCGGTACCGCATGCAGGCCACGGGACAGACACCGATGGTACCTTTTTCAGTCCCTGAAAGTCAGCTTAATGCCAACTTGGTTGGTCATATCCAGGATGGGTTAGAACTCACATGAACTTGACTTCCAGGTAGAACCCTGAGAAAGAGCCTAGACCTTTCGGTCTCAAAAAATAACGTGTGGGATCCGCCTACCTGTGTCACTTCGTCACATAACGGGGTGTTGAAGAAGGAAAGGATGATGTGGAAAACCCCTCGCCTGGCATAGAGCTCATAGCAGTGCTTGTCTCGAATCCCCTGCCGCAGAATTCCAAAGATCCATTCCCGTTCGGTGTTTTGCTATGACCCAGGCAAACAAGAAACAACTGTTGAGTTTCTCTCACAACTCTTCAAATACCACTATTTTCAAGTGGTGACAAAGATCGGTCACTGCACAGCAGCCCTGATCTCCATTTCTGATGATATCAAAAGCCGTCAGTATTATCTTTGATTCAGTTTAGAGTCAGGAATAAAGGACCACGTTAAGTTTAAACACCAATCTGCGTTAATTCAGGCAGGTGTTCCATAAAAGCACATTTAATATTTACTCAGTGATTCACCAAAAAAATACGAAATGCCATAAAACGCAGACCTCTGAAGAAGAGTTTTTAAGGTGTGAGAAGCTACCTAAAAATGAACGCATGCCGTGAAAAGCACGTCCACGTGCAAGCCCTCGTGAACTTCTACTTTTTCTGACCGTCTTGCTCCAAACACTGCTTGAGCAATCGTGCTGGCTGAGCAGCAAACATACTAACGGGAGATGTCAGAATGACGGCTGCCACCAGTCAGGACGGCTGCGTCACCCATTTCCGGGGGCTTCGGGGCTGTGAGGACTCTGGAAGCGTTACCTCGAAGTCCGAGCTGTAGAAGAACTGGTAGAAGCCCGGAACCTTGCTCATGTTCAGAAACTCGTGTGACAGCAGGAACTTGTTGATCTTCAGGTACATGTGCTCCTCTGGGAACAGAGGCAGACAGTCACGACAGGCACCGACGGGACAGCCCGTGGTCTGCTGCAGTCAGGGGGTGGGAACCTGGGGTCAGCCAGCCCTCGCCCCTGGGGAGCTTTCGCGTCCTTGTCCAGGTTATTAGTTCTCGAGAACTGGAGTGCAGTAAGACACGTTAGGTCTACACTGCATACAGGCTTTCTCTGTGGCCCAGAAACCACGGCAGAAGGTGGAGTTCTTCAGAGATGCCACCCCTCCCCCGGTGCCAGCCTACTGTAGAAGCACCAGTCAGCTGGTGGGCAGAGTGAGACCAGGTCACACAGACAGCACAGGGCTAACGCTCACACCCACTGGCCTCCCTCCAAAGGGAATAGCCCAGTAAAGGGGGTGCAGATGCATTGGGGTCAATGGGGAGACACCCACCTCCTCCCCTGCCCCTTCCCACTGTAGGATCATGTCCTGTCTGTCCAGGCTGCCAGCGGCTTGACCCCACGACCATACGAGGTCACGATAGCTCAGGTAACAGACTAGACGGGAGGCCGAGATCAACACCATGCGGCCTCTGCAAAGATAATTTCTCAGAACAGCTTTTTTCTTTAGAGTCTGCAAATGGCTAATTACCTTGTTTCCTCCCCAGAATTTCTAAGATGAATAAAAAACCATGTAACAAAAGTGATGTAGGAGCAGATGAAAATCAGATCTGAGTTCTAACTGCAACATGGCTAGAGACTATCTGTGGGGCCTCGACAAGCTATCTAACCCTGGGGGCCTAAAGCTGGGGGGCTGTTTCCTCATCTGGAAATAAACATGTTACACTTAAGGACCCCTAACAGTATCAACGTTTTATGATTTTTCATTGAAAAAAAAAGTCTGAAGACAGACTATCTTCTATCACACCACCTCGGCAGTGGTGCCTGTTTTATAAAAAGGAACCTGTTCTAGTGCCTTCGGTGGCACCTCGTAGGAACCACAGGCCAGATGAATTCTGGCTACGGACCCAGGAGTGTGCTGACCGGCCTCCTCTGAGCCAACACCGAGGGTGCTCCTGCATCGGGCCCCGCTTTCCCCCCAGACGCCCTGATGCGCAGGACCCGTGTCCGCCTCTCAGCCTCGTGAGGCAGGCATGAGGATTTGCTTTCAACACAGTTCTTTCCCCATATTCTTTCCCCATCCCTACACACTGCTCTGCACCTTGCTTTGTCACTTAATTTTTCCTGGATTTCATAGGGACCCATTAGGCGTCTTCTCACAACCATCGCTTATTTACTGTCCAGTGCTGGTAGACATTGCATGGCTCCCCATCTTTCACTGTGGTAAACAATGGACGACCTTGATCCATCCTTTCTCACACGTATGACAGATTATATGTGTAGGATTCGTGTCCACAGGGGACTTGCTCGGCCTCAATATTTCAATCTCACCCCAACCTACTCCCATCAGTGGTACCTGGTTTCAGCATTTGCAGGGCTGCTTTGGCAATGAAGAGAGACAAAGTAAAGGTGAGTCTCATGTTCCTGGTTCGGATCCCATTGCGCACTACATCCAACAGGTAAAGTACCTTAAAACCAGGAAAAAGAAAAAAAAAAGAGCATTTTCAGAACTTTGACCAGCTTCGACGTGTGCAGCCTGAAGCACAGCTCTGCGGTGGCTCGTCACAGCCCAGGGCCACCACAATGGCGACGTCCTCGGGGTTTACACCAGAGAAGTAGTGGACAGGAAGTAGCCCGCTCTGCCCACCCACACAACCCAAGAGAAGCGACTGTAAGGGGAGACCTCACTCAACCACCCTGGGGGTGGAGGGCCAGACGCAACCTCCGGCATCTCCCCACAGGAGAAACAGATTTTATTCTTTATCAGAGGTCTCCTGGCAACTCGGATATCATTCCACGAACCCAGGGGGAGAGCCAGCCTGCGAAGCCCTCCAAGTCCACCCTGAGCTCCACTCACCTGGGACCGCTCTCGGAACCGGGCGCCCTCCACATGCGAATAGTAGGCCGCCAGGACGGAGTAGGCCACGGCTCGCATCTGAGGGTCATAGCTGCTGAGGGCCGCGACGGTCAGGCCCAGAGCATTTGAATCCAAAAATTTTCGACAATCCACCACAAATTCTATGGGAAATAAAACATACCATTAAACACACACACACAGACTCCACGATGCTTGTGCTACATGGCAAATTAAATTTCCTTCTGCATTTCACCAACATTGGCTATGCGTGCTAGATACTTCTGATGAAGTCAGACACAAGACTCTCTTCCCTTCTGTGGCAATAATTACCATACCTTCGGCCTCTGAGATACTTGTAAATCCCAACCAGGATGATTTCATTACTTCTCACAAATACCCAACGAGCCAGAGAAGGATGGAAGTGCCACTCAGACTTGAAACACAAGACCTCGGCATCTCCCAGCATCCCAGGGGCCAGGGCAGCACAACCAGGAGTAGGCAGAGGAAACCAGCTCCTGTTTCCACCTGTCAGCCTGCTGCCTCTGCTTTCCTACCTACGAGCTCCAGTAAGGAAAATCTGTAAGGCCGTTAAGCTGAGAAATTCAGCTGGAGCAAACCAGTCCGACCTGGTCCTTTTACAAAGGAATAAGTTATACCCACTTTGCAACTCTAGTTCTTCAAACCTGTAACAAAAATCTCACAAAAGAGAAGCCTATGAACCCTGAGAAAACTAGTCTAAAGAGAGCCTCCTTTGTTACCTGTGGGCCTCGAGAAACTCGCAGTCCTCCAGGAGAGGATGTGAGTGGGAGAGGTAGTCAGACATTCAAGGGGACCCACCTGACCATGTCTTAGAGGGCTTGATTATCACTAATAAAATTCAGGACACTTCAAATCCTCTTTAATAAAAACCCAGGCCTTTTGACAAGATAAATACTGTCAAGAAAAACCTCAGAATAGAGATAGGTCGCCATGTTTAAAAATGATTAAGTAGGGTTTGGTCGTGATAATTACACATGAAGATGTTCTTTTGATTGAGTGACTGGTGACCTAGTTACATTAGGAACCAAACACAAACCAACTGAAATGACTACCCCAAATGGGCAATCTTGGAATATGCTATCAATAAACGATACGTCATCTATAAAAAACCAAACTTTTTTTCTCTTCTCTCCCTAAAGTTAGACTTTCAAAAGGATAATGATAGCAATGAAAAGAAAAAGACCTAAGAAAATAATAAAAAGGAAAATTATGATAATCAGCTACTTCTCCTTAATCTAAACAGCTTCATAGCAATATTATGTTCCCAATCTGAGTGGCTTCCCAAAATCACTTTAAGCCATAGGTTTCCTTCCCTCTCAGAAGTAGCAGAGCTCACTGGAGCTTCTACTGGCACCCACCAAAGGCAGACTGATGCAGGGGGGCCACTTCCACACGGGTCCCTTCCGCTGTGTTTCTCAACTTCCATATCATGTCTAAGCATAACCAGGATTTACACTGCCAACCAAGACAGAGTGATAGGAACCAGATTCACCCGTTCACCTGAAGCAACTAGAAAACTGGACTGAAGAAATGAAACAGAGACTTTCAAGGTGTTGGACATGAGACAACAAAGGAGAGCGAACCTGAGAGGTGGGAAACAGGGTGAAGCCGGGCTGTCCTAGCTCACAGCCTAGAGTTCCCAGGCTATGGCACAGAAAGGGCGAACCTAGGTGGAGACGGGAGAACTCTGAGTTAAGACAGAGTGGGAGGCCTAGAAGGCTAAGGTGGCCAGAGTTCACAAGGCAGAGTCCCAGAGAAGAGAGCTCCACTGACAGGGACAGCATCCTCGGCTGAGTGCCCATCGATGGCACGTGCGTGTGAGGAAGCTCCCGAGGCTGGGAAAGGACCCCCTGAAAGGACTGGAAGAGACAACGCCAGGCTCACACCTGCCTGCAAGCAGCGCCTAGTCCCACCAGCCTGGGCGAAATCCTCACAGCTCACGGGGACAGGGGAGATTTCTCAGATTTTACCTTGGTTGTGGGGCAGAGTTCATCCCGGATTAAAAGTTGCTTTGGTCCCACCTAACAGAGATTAAAAGCAAGACTGGAAGGATCAAACCATTTCTGAGCAACTGGAATGTGTCCTAGGACAAAGCTCAAGAACACTCACAGCAATACAAAGATATCCAGCGCCAAACAAGGCAAAAACCACAATGTCTGGTTTCCAATAAAAAATTACCAGACATTCAAACAACCAGGAATACAACCTATTATGAAGAAAAAGCTCCACCATTCGAAAATGACCCAGATGTGCCATAGATAACAAAGTAGTAGAAAGAGACATAAAAAGTTATTGTTAACTATATTCTACAGATTCAAAAGCCAGCAGAAAGATTGAGCATATTAAGTAGAGATATGGAAGATATAAAAACCCGAACCAACTTTTTAGAGATGAAAATTAAAATGTTGGAGTTTGAAAGTGCACTGGATGGGATTATCATCAAATAAGGCATTGCAGAAAAAAGACTAGTAAACTTGAAATAGCAACAAAAACTATCCAACCTGAAATACAGAGACAAAAAAGAATTTAAAAATATGAACAGAGCATCAGTGAGTTGTAGGACAATTTTAAGCAGGCTCACATATGTGTAATTGGAGTCCCTGAAAATATTTGAAGAAATATGGCCAAAACTTTCCCAAATTTGACAAAAACTATAAACTTACAGAGCCAAGAAGCTCAATGAACACCCAAGCACATGAAATACAAAGAAAATTACACCAAAGTATATCATAATCAAATTGCTTAAAACCAGTGATAAAAAAAAATCTTAAAAGCAGCCACATAATGTACAAAGAAACAAAGATAATCATGAAAGTAGATTTCTTGTTAGAAATAATGCAATCCAGCAGTAACATCTTTAAAGTCCAGTAAGAAAAAACCCTGCTAACCTACAATTTTATACTCTGTAAAACTCTTTCAAAAGTTGTCTTTTTTTTCCATCAAAAAAAGCTAAAAGAATTGATCACCAGCAGACTTGAACTACAAGACTTCTTAAAGGAAGTATTTTAGACAGAAGGAAGATGACAGAGATGGAATTCTGAATCTACACAAAGGAGTGAAGGAAACCAAAAAATGGTATCTATATGGTAAATACAAAATATTTAAATCTCTTTAAAAGGTAATTGACAATTTGAAGCAACAACATATTGGGCTTTTACAGCACAGAAAAGTTAAATATGTGATAAAAAGAGCACGAAAGCCAAGAAAGGAGAAATGGATTGATACTGTTGTAAGGTGCTTCCACAATCCATGAAATGGTACAGTTTCAATTGAAGGTAAACTGCAATAAATCAAAGATGAATTAAACCTTAAAGCAACACACACACTCTCTCTCTCTCTCTCTCTCACTCGCGCTCTCTCTCATGCACGCATGCATTGTAGCTAAAAACCAACAAAGAAAACAGAATCATAGCAATAATCACATTAAATGCTAATGGCATATACATTTGAACTGAAAGGCAGAGACGGTTAGATTAGATTTTAAAAAGCAAAACCCAAGTGCATCAGTCTGCAGGAAACCACTTTTAATATTAAAATGCAGATTAAAAGCAAAGGATTGAAAAAGAATAATCTGAAGATTTGGATTCCAACAACTTATGGACTAAATTTTCTCATTTCTAACAAGTGACTATTTTTGATGGGAAGGGGCAAAAAAAAAAAAAAAACCCAAAGTTTTAAAAAGCATCAAACTATGGGATAAAATTATATTTTTTTGGAAAAGATGAGATGTGTTTAAAATATACTTACTTACCTACATAACAAATACACAAAGGGAATACATTTGAGAAAGAGAATAGTCCAAACATTTAATATTACACTCACTAAAAATAGTACTCAGCAGGCTAGGACATTTTTAGTAATCACTGACATTCTCCAAGACAAATGGATTTTCCACGTGTCCATGAGGAAAAGTCAATTACATGCTTTGTGGTCATCGCTGTTGTTCCGTGATGTCTTGGCTTTTTAACACTTAAGGAAAGAGCTGTCCTTGGGGGTTGAAAATAGGCTATTAAAAAGAAGTTACAAATGCCATTCTCTTTGTTGGCAGGGACCTCCTAAGTAGCAACTTGGGCTTCTGATAACAGATCTTCAGATCAAAATGGCTGAACCAGGATAATTATCAAGGATTAAAGTAAAAAGCACCCCATGTTTCATGGGCTTCGATGGCAGTGTGACTGTGCTGAACCATCAAGAACTCGCCCTCATGCCTCCTCTTACACAGTCCCTGCAGAGGTGGCATGGCAGGTTAAGGCTCAGCACGGTGGTCTGGTGATGAGGCTCAGAGAAGTGCACACAGGCCTTTCTGCCCTGTGGTAAATGTGAGCTATGAGCTGAAGATTTCAGCCCAGTTCTGTTGAGGACAAGAATTGCTGTGGAAAAAGCATTTGTCACTGCCACTGCTAACAGCCTTGGCTGGGCCTGTTTCTCAGCCAAGGACTCAAAAAAGGGAAGCTGTGAGGTTAAGAAAATAGGTTGCCATTTTCAGCAAAGGGTTGGAATGGAGCTGTGAGACTGTACTTTCTCTGAAGACTGGCAGCCACGTATATTAACTAATCATAAGCCCAATTTACAATTGCAAAATGTTTAGCAACACTGGACCCAGGTGCCACTTTAGGAAGTAAAAACATACTGTTAAAAAGTTCTACCACACATAGCATGGATGAATCTCAGAAATACAGTGTGGGATAAATGAAGTAGATACAAAAGAATATATAGTGTATGATGCCATCTACATCAAGTTCAACTATAGAATGCCAGTCTCTATTGGAAAGGAAGGGGTACCGACTAGCAAGGGGCTTGAGGGGCTAAAGATTATGTTCTGTTCCTTGATCCTGCTGGTGGCTGCACCAAAACTCAAGCAGTACATACAGGATTTGAGTAAGTTTCTACATATCACACTTCAGTAAAAGTGTAACACGTTGCTCATACTGCTTCACCAGGGCAAAAGCAAAAAAACAATACATTTTAAAAATAACATGAAAAAAAGATTCGTGACTTAATTCAACCACAAAAACAGCCTATATTGGCCATTATGCTATCCACATTCTTCTGTTCTGTTTAACTTACCATTAAAAAGCTAGATATTTATGTCGCCTCACAAACTGGTATGTTTCCCTTGATCAGGTAACAAAATTTGTTTAAAATGTTACGCTTCCATTTTTTGTTTTGGATGACAAATAGCCAGAGCAAAATTTAATGAACCTAGTTCTTCTTGGGTGAAAAAAAAATTAAAAAAAAAAAAAATTGTTTTCCAAGTCTTTGCCTTCTGTTTTCCTAAGAGCTCTATTGAGAGACAGTAACAGACTAAGTGACTTGTTATAATTCACTGAAGTCACCTCATATTTTTAGACTGTGGAAAATCTATTTTCATGTTTGATGAGAAACAGGCTGAGCGGCACAGCCAGGCATGCAGGGACGAGCAGAGCTTCCTGACCACACACCAGAAGGTGTGCCTCGGCTGCTCGGCTGCCGATGGTCGGCAGGTCGATTAAGATGCCTGCTTGTCACTGTCATACCCTGACACCTGCACGAAAGGTCCGGATCTTACAAACAGAATCTAGCTTAGCCACAGACCACAGTGCTCGTGGAGAGGGCAGTCAGAGCACACAAGGACTCCTGGAGGGCAAGCTCTCTGAAAACCCAGCCCTCTCGATCTTCTGTTGGGAATACTAAGGGCAGTGGTGGAGGATCAGCAAATCTGTTCATAAGTAAAGCGTTTGAGAAGAGAAAGATAATTTCAAGTTGAAAAAAAGGAAGAAACAGTCATGGCCTCCCTAGGCACCTAAATCTACATGGCCGCAGATTTAATCCAACAGGAAGGAGCTTTGGGAGACGCGATGGGCATCACGCCGGCCGAGCCAATGAGCAGAGACGCAGAACACACACCTCGGGCCACCCCACCACACTGTCCCTGAGAGGCCTTCTTCGCAGGCCCGAATGGAGTCATCACAGCCTTTAAGAACAGGTGGAAAGGAGACAGTCACTGCACAGCCTTGGACACCACTTGGTTTTTGAACTGTGAAATATTCTAACTAATGTTAAAAATGAATTAAATTAGATTTCTAATTCTGGGAAGATGGAATAGATGTATTTTCTCTATTTTTACTACAAAGTACAAATACTTTCTGCTCCCTGTGTCCCACACTTAGAGCTGAAGAAGCCAGAGAGCCCGAAACAGTGAACGGGCACAGTCGAGGCCGGAGCGAAAGCCCGCGCTCCTCTAGTCTCAGGACGAAGACTGGAAAAACACAGCCTACAAGACAGAAAACACTTAGGCGATTCCTGCTCTATTCCACCCAAACACCTCAGAAAAAATGTGGCCCTGCCCCCACCCAGGCCCCAAAGGTGGAGTGGGGAGACTAGACATCTGTGTCTGATAAATACGGGGTTTTAGCCCCAACCCCAAGCTGAGGTGGCTCCAAAGAAGGCCAGAGTAGAGAGGTGGGGCTTTCCCTTCCACTGGGCAGTGGGACACGCCTCTCCCCCAACCCCCGCCCCCGCAACTATGTCTCAGAGGAGGCCACCTGAGGAGCAGTAACAGGCCATTCCTGCCTCTCCCGGCCAGGAAGAGCAGTGCAGGCGTAATCCATAAAAGGACATCATCAAACTGAAAACTTTAGCTCTGTGAAAGATCCTCTTAAGAGGATGAAAAGATAAACTACAGACTGGGAGAAAATATTTGCAAACTACATATCCAACAAGAGACTAACATCTAGTGTACATAAAGAATCCTCAAAACTCAACAGTAAAAAAAAAAATCCCATTGGAAAATGGGTAAAAGACATGAACTGACATTTCACCAAAGAGGACATCAGATGGCAAACGAACCACAAGATGCTCAACGTCATTAGCCATTAGACATCAATGAGATATATATCATCACGCATCTGACATATCACCAACAAAATGCACAAACCAACACTCGACCAACCTGAGAATCAGACCTTGGTCGTCACAATGGCATAAGAATTGCTTTAGTTCTTTCCATCTCCCCCACCTGCAAAGACGTCCACCCTCAGGCTACTGGACACAAAACGTATTTTTGCTGAAACCAAGGAAAATGCCAACTTGAGCAGGCTCTCACTCGTTCTCAAGGACAAAATCTGTTGGCATTTGACCACCATCTACCTAAAATTCAGAAAAGACTCTTGTCCCTTTGTCCTTGACACCCAGATTAAAAATATTTTTTAAAAAATTACTGTATATTCAGAATATTAATTGTTACTTTGCTGAAAATCATTGGAATGAAAAATCACGGTAAACTAGTCTACGGCCATGCTACCCTGAACGTGCCCGATCCTGTCCGATCTTGGAAACTAAGCAGAGTTGGGCTTGGTTAGTAATTGGATGGGAGACCACCTAGGAAGACCAGGTGCTGTAGGCGTAAACAAATAAATAAATAAATAAATAAAATAAGGGATTGTAAGATGACAAGGTCCTTGCAATCTGTGAGGTCAACCAAGGGTTGCCTCGCCTAAAAAAAAGGAAAAGAAAAGAAAAATCACGGTAAGGTAAGAAGGCAGCTGAAGATCATTTAAGAAAGAGTAATAACAATCATTCCATAAGTAATAGTCACCACTCTGTGGTTACCCCTGAGCCTCCGCAGCAGGAACTGCCCCTTCCCCCCACCCCCAGGCTACATTTACCTGGCCTGGTCAATTCGCTGAAGAGATGAAGAAGGAAGCAGGGGTCATAAAGGTCACCAAGATCGGCTGTGCTCTTATCTTTAAATATGGGTTCCTGTGCATCCTGAAATAGCCGGAGATAGACAGACATGTATGTGCGCTTCGACCTCCAGAATGCAATGTCACATGAATGTTTACCCACTATATCTAGAGTTCAAACTATTTTGAATATTCAAGAACATTTAAAAAATGGTTCTGTAAAACACAGTGCTTGTGTATGACATGATATACTCGTTGGGGGTCAAGTCATAAACGGCACAAATGTTGTGGTAACTGTGGAAGCTGGGTGATGGGCAGGTGGCTCTGCATCTTTTACTTAAGAAGAAGGTACCAAACCACATGAAAAACCACGCTTACAGTCTACTAAAGCTGAAGTGCGAATGGAGGCCTTGGAGGGGAGGGCCCCACCCTGTGCATGCTCCCCGCTGGCTCTGTCCAGAGCCTCCCGCACCTCAGGGGGAAGCAGCCTCCGGTTCTGGGGGAAGTGGAGGATGGTCCTCATCATCCGGTCCCGATCCAGCAGGCGAAGGATGTCCCCAACGCTCGGCTGCTGCCACAGCGACTTGCCCAGGCTCCTGCAGGTCTTGTGATGCTCCACAGCCGCGGGGCCCCACATCAGCACCCTGGAGCAGAGAGGGGGCAGACTGGTCATGGGGCCCAGAGCAGCACCCTAGAGCTGGAGGGGGGTGCAGACTGGTAGTGGGGCCCCATAGCAGCATCCTAGAGCAGGAGAGCGGGGCAGACTGGTCCTGGGGCCCCACAGCAGCAACCTAGAGCCAGACAGGTGCAGACTGGTCACGGGGCCCCACCTGGACAGAATTGATGATGATGATGGCAGTAACCACCATCACAGGTAGTGTTGTCGAGCAGCTGTCGCACACAGAGAGAGAAAGACGGAAAGAAAAGAGACAAACACAGACATAGCACATGCATGCACTCAGACAGATGAGGGAGAGTGGAATTCATATCCAGTGGGCATTCTTCACTCACCCCCTGCCCAATCCCGTCACAAGTCATTCCTGCCTGAAGTACAAGGTTTTCAGAAAAATCAACTCAACTAGACACTTGTGGGGAGTGAGTATGAGGGCAGGTCCACCACAGACACGCACCCATCAACCAGCAGGGCGGCCCAGCCTATGCGGTGCCTGCCCACAGACAATCCCCATGGCATGAGGCCGAGCCTTCTGGAGCGGCCCACCTAGAGCCGCATGTGAGCTAAGGGAGCGCTATCCATCCCACCTCTTTCCGTGAGAATCAAAAAGGAACAGGAGAAACCTTGGGAGCTCACTGTGCGGAGCAGCTCCATCTTGGGGAGGCGCCTTCTAAGCCTGGGGCACCCAGGCCCAAAGCTCACCTGAAGTCGATGAGGCTGATGCTGTTCCGTTCGTACGCCCGGAGGAGAAGTAAAATCTTCTGGTCTAGGAGTCAGTCGAAAGTTAATTTAGCAAGGTGACCCCTCCCACCCCATCACACCACCCGGTCCCCACACACTCCCTGGCCACACCACCGCCTGTCCTCAAACACCTCCCTGGTCACACCGCCCGCCTGGTCCCCACACACTCCCTGTCACATCCTCACCCAGGACGCTGAGAGAGGCGCCATAGGCCCCGAGGAGCACTGCAAAGTGGCCGTTCTCACAGACAGAAGGGCACAGCCTAACCACCACTGACATCAGGTCCACCAGCGCTTCTGGAAGAAAAGGACATGGAAATGCACAGCGGAGCAGGGGGACGTGCACGTTCAGAAGAAAGGTAGAGAAGGAAGCGTTTTGGGGAACATTTAAAGGTCTGAGCAGCACTGGCCCTAGGGCTGCGTCCGGTCCCTTCGCCACCTTTTCCTTTTTCATAAACAAACACGTCTTCGCAATGGTCTCTCTTCCTTGGTCTTTGACAAGGCAGTCTCTCCCCACTCCCTCCTGCAAATTTTAAGCCAAAGATTTTAATATCTAATCATTTCTCTATGATTATATTGCCAAAATCTCTACTGTTCCTATTCCTGCCTAAATAGAAGGCTGGAGTCTTTTTACTTTTCTACGACCCACACCAGGAACTTGGGTATGGTCCTCTTCGACTTAGCAGTTTATTGTGGACAGACTTTGCAGTGATTTCTAAGGGTCTGGGGAAGTTAATTCTGTCTCTTAACAAGAGTGTGGCTTCAGGAGGGCAGGACCTTTCAGGCCATCTCCCCTGATGCCTCCACAGCGTACACCACACGTGGGATCACGGGTGCTACAGGGACCCAGGACCGAGTCAAAACTCGGCCTTCGAACAGTCCCCGAGCAGGGAACTCTCCACAGGGATGTTCAAACCCTTTGCCCTCGATAAAAGTTTCAATCCTCCCATTAAGACATTTCACACAACTAAACACCTTCTCCCCTGTCAGATACCCTTCGTGGCTCCCAACTCCCAGATTTTCACACTTGCCCATGATATGGCCATAAGACCACAAACACAAGTTCCATGAGCCAGAACGGGCTTTGAAAAGAGGTCTGCATTTGACCATCAGTCAGAGGAAACAATTCCCGAGCTTCGATTTGACAGAAAAAAACATTCTAATACCATTTTGGTAATGCTTCCCTAGCTCTGAAAACGTGTGGGCACCAAGCTTCAGGGCACAGCGAGCTCGATGAACGCAGGAGATAGTATCTGTCTGTGAAATGGGAGGGTGGGGGTCAGGGGTCACCTTTCACTGCACTGTCCGGGTTTTCCTCGTCCTCAGACTTGAGGAGGGTTGGCAGAAACAGGGAGTGCTGGGTGAGCATCATGTGGACCACTGGAAGCTGGATGAGCTTCGCGCACACAGAGCTTTCTGGAAGATACAGGAGCTGTAGGGCAGCATGAAACGCCTTCAAAAATGCATGGTCCTGATACCGATATCTAGGAAGCAAGAATCAAAATGGGAAAAAGATTCATAAAGGGGAACTTTATTTCACAGGAAACAAACAAAAAAACTTTATTAAGAAAATCCTCTAGCGTACCGCAAAGTGGGGAATTTAAAGCGCATGGTGATACACTCATCATCTAGATTCTACTGTTGCCATAGCATCACACTGGCTTTGCCACGTACCTTGCCGTCCCCCATCATGCGGGACACTTCAGAAAACGAGGTGTGTGTGGGGGTGCGGCACATTTACTGACAGCACAAACACCACACAAACTTCCTGTCTGGCTGAAATGCCAGGAGGCAGCAGAACCGCTGAACCTGAACTGAGACGACACTGTCCCCAGCCCCCCGCCGGCTCAGCCCTTCCTCCTTCCTCCCTCTCAACCACTCAACACTCCCAAACGGTCCAGAAGCTTCTCTGTCTTAAATCCCTTCAGAACCCACTAAAAGAATGAAAGCATCTTGCTCCAGGAAAAAGAACATTTTTAGTCACATCCAAGAATGTTAAGAGTCACTTAGCATACAGTGGGCATTCTGGAAATACAAATTAACCATAGACTGAAAGAAAGGTCACCATTTCATGACGGTGATCCATAGCTATCGTTAAGCTGTGAACCACCTTCACGTCCTTCTGTCCTCTTGGATAAAGCATTTTCTGTTTCAAGTTGATGAATAATCAGGCAAATGAAAATCACAGGCTCAATGACAGATCATTCCGTGACAACAGAGTCTGACCATATCGAGTGCTAGTGAGGACATGAGGAAAAAAACGAACTTTCCTACCGTGTTAGGTCAGCACGAAAACCCTGGGGAGCAAACTGGAGGTGCAGTAAAACGGAAGCTGCGCCCACACTAACAGCCAGCGAGCGCCCCTCCCCGAGAAAGGCTGGCATGCGGACACTAAGAAGCAGGTAACACTCTCACAGGAATGGGAGGAAGCACGGAAGGGGAGAAGGGCCGATGAAAGGGAGGTGTCATCCAGAGGGGACTGGCTAAATGCATTAACTGCGGTATGGTCACAAGGCAGAATACCCCACAGCACAAAAACGAATGACTTAGATGTACATGTGTCCACATGGGTAACTCGAAAACGTCTGAGTGCAAAAGAAGGACACATAAAGAATGATATACCTGTGTAAAATGTTAAACACACCAGACAACGTTATTTATTGTTTACAGACATACTGACATACAACCAGTTTTGAAAGCGGGCATGGTCATGACAAAGATCAACCACAGAAGAATGACACTTTCAGGCAAGGGAGGGAAAAGAATAAATTAGAACAAATATAGAAAACTGTCAGCATTTATTGAGTCTGAGTGCAGCAGTATTAGTCTCCACACATTTCTGGTTTTTAAAAACTATTTCGTGGTTTAAAGGTTGCTTCTCATCGCTGCTAGAAGCACACTGCACGCTGATAAGCAAATCGTCTAACTGCTACGTCACACGGCTCGTATCTCTAAAACTGGAGCAACACCATGCACACCCGGCGGTGCATCATCGATGAGAGGCACCCCCCTTACTGAACCGCACCAAGAAAATAAAACCGACTTACTTGAGTCCAGTCTTCACAAATTTCTGCCAATCACCAGGATCGACTTCATTAAGTGAACTCTATGAATAAAGTGACAAATATACATGGAACATCTCAATTTAGAATACAGAAGACAGAATTAAAATAAGAACTGCTCAGTACATGTGGAATATAGTTACCTAAACAATCTACAAAAGCGTGCAACTATTTCTTACTTTGATTTTTAAAACTGTTTCGTTATTTCCGCTAGTAGCTCTGATATTTTATTAGCAGACCTATGATCACCAAATGAGCAAAAGGAAATTTCTTAATGGTCCATTCATTTTTCCCTTTGTCTCCCATTTCAGACAGCGCTAACTGATCACACGACTACGTACGTGACAGCACCTCCGGCCAGGGGAAGGCCACTGTGCCACCAACGGAGCTGACACAAGTCCACACGCCCTGACCGACGTGGAGAAAATCTCCAAATGTGTTGCTGCGTTAAATCAGAAGAGCAGCTGCTCTGGAGGGAAAGGGACTGACTGGGAGGAAGCACAAGGGAACCTCCTATGAGGGTGAAAATCTCGGGCGGCAGTGTGGGCACTGGGGCATGTGCACTGTCAACACTGAACTGTGCCCTTAAGAGCTTCTATTTCACAATAGGAAAATACACCTCAGTTAAAAGAACGGGGCTGGTGCGGGATGTCAGTGGTGAGGGAGGCTGGGTCTGGTGGGGAGGCAGAGAGTATATGGGAACTCTGTACTTTCTGCTCGATTTTGCTGTGAGTCTAAAACTGCTGTTTAAAAAAGTCTGTTAAAAAGGAAAAAAGAGAAAGAAAGGTGAGACACAGAGGGAGGCATATGCCTTGAGTACAAAACTCCCTGACAGCACAGCCCGTCGCCTGGTCGTCAAGCCAGCCTGCGGGGGCTGACGATGGAGCCGGGCAGGGACATTCACTGCGACAGTGGCAGGTGGGCCCGCCCCGCTCCTCTGCAGCTCAGCTCTCTCCAGACTTGGGGACACGCCTCCTCTTTCTCAGTTCTGCCCTGTTTGGGTGCCTATGAGCCTTATATTCACAAACCTGTGACGTGATGAATTAAGGCTGAAATACGGGTTATAAAGTCTCTTAATACAACTATGTAGGCACACTGCTTGATCTATAATCTACGAATGTACTTGTCACACTTGTTAACTTTCACCCCGGGTTATTTTTCTGAGGATTACTTTTTAAGTCTTGGGTTCAGAGTTTAAACACAAGTCACAGACTCTACGACTTTTAAGAGAATTTTACACTGTGTACTGAAGAGTAACTCACATGCCAGCTTTTGGAATGTTAATTATTTCCTTGCAAAAATATAACATTTAAAAAAAAGGAACACTTCAATAGAAGAGAATAATGGCCAAAAATAGCTGCATATTTCCAAATTTTATGAAGACTCTAAATTCACAGTCAACAAGTTCACTAAACCCAAAGCACAGGAAGCCTGAAGAAAACTACATTGAGGCACATCATAATCAAATCGCTTTAACCAGTATTAAGAAAAACTTCCGAAAAGCAGCCAGAAATGGCTTAATATACAGAACAGAAATAAGAATGACAGATTTCTTATCGGAAACAATGCATGCCAGAAGACAGTGAAGCAACACCTTCAAAATGATTAAAGGAAATAGAAACTGTAGAATTTTATACCAGTGAAACTCTTTAACTCATTCTGAAGGCAGTGTTACCTGATCTTAAAACCAAACACATTGTAAAAAACTAAACTTATAAACATCACTCACGCACAGATGCAAAACTTCTTAATAAAATATCAAATCCAACAATATTTTAAAATAATACCTCATGATCAAGTAGGTTTATCCCAGGAATGCAAAGCTGGCTAACATTCAAAGATCAATTAATATAATTCATCTTATTAACAGACTAAGTGAAAAAACAAAACCATATAACCATCTCAGCTGATGCAACAAAGTGTGTTGACAAAATCCAACATCCATTCTGGATGTACGATGGCTCTTCCCATTAGGGGTCATGCCAGCTGCCACTTTGCTTCCATGACACGGCTCCTCTCATTTCTCAGCAGGCCACATTCAAGCCACTTGGCTTAGGATGCATCTGTAAACCTTGGTCTTTTGCTTTCTTAAACATCTAACCAAGACTCTAAGAAAAGATGAGACACCTACCAACAGCTGATTTAATCTCAGCAGCATTTGCCTCTCTTGCTCCTGGGTGCTGTCACTGTCTTGCTGACGACTGAAAGACGCAATCAGCCACTTTACACAGGACTCCAGCAGAGTCTTTTTCCAGGCACGCAGCTTTTCTGCCGACCCTTCCAGCACTGCCGAGACAGAGTCGGCCACGACCCAACTGCAGCAAAAGACGTAAGTCAAAGAGTGAGAGGTGATGGATGGCCAAACACCAATACCTTTACGTATAATCCGACATCACAATGGGCCACAAGCCCTATGCTACTCAAGCACAGGAATCACAGCTGTTCCCTGCCTCTCACTCAGATATCAGAATTTTTATTAGGAGAAACAACACTAGCACACCAGAAAAATATGTTATCTAAATCAGGCCATCTCAACCTCAGCAATACTGACATCTGGGTCAGATCGTTCCTCCTGTTGGGGGTGATGGAGTGGGGTAAAGGGGAGCTAGCTGTCCTGTGTGGTGCGTTATAGGATGTTTAGCAGCACCTCTGGCTTCCACCCTCTAGAGGCCAGAAGCAACACCCCGCGCTCATGTTGTACTAAAAAACATCAGACATTGCCAGCTATCCCCTGGCGAGGGCAAAACCACCCCAGTTGAGACCACTGCTCTTAGGGAATCAGAACCAGCCATCCACTTACAGAGACGTACTCACTCTGGCCAGGATGGCTGAAAGACTTCTCGTAGGAACTGCCTTCTGATAAACTGGCACGACAGATATTTGTGACAGATAAACTGGCAGCCATTTTTCATAAGTTTCTAAATACTCCAGAGAAAAGTGAGGCCGAGGGAAAAGCCATCAAACGATCTAAGCCTTCGTACCTCTTGTGACTGTCTGGAGTCTGAAGCAAGCTGGGCAAACGGTCCATGAGGACACTGAGGTCCTTGGCTCTTGCAAACGGGACCAGCTGGGCCAGGATCTCCTGATGCAGCCCAGGCTCGGGGGGCCCATCGGCACTCAGCAGCCTGGTCTGCAGGTGCCTCCACAGGGCCCTCCTCAAAACAGGAATGACAGCAGAGGACACTGGGGCGGAGACAAAAAGAGAGGCGGTCACACGAAATAGTGGCAAAAGAAGGGGCCGGGCCCAAGCTGCCTCAACTCAGCCTCAACTCACCAACGTACCTGATTGGGGACAGTGGGACAGGACAGGGGCAGTCACTCCGAATGACTCCCTCAACCTAACGAGGCCCAGCCCTGGTGCTGACCCTTCCTGGGCTCGAATGGCCCCACCTGCTGCCCACCTCCTCCCCCAGCCTCACGTGGTAACTTGGCGTGATGGGAGCATGGGGGCAGCACCTCCAGCCATTAGCCAAGAGTCTGGGGTGGGGGGTTCAGTAAGACTCTCTCATCTTTCTCAATCTCCAGAACTGAGTCAGAAGCTGCAGGAAAAACGGAACTAGACCAAACCGAGCACAAGAAGCTCCAGAGTTTACAAATGGCCACGCAGTTCCGCCTCCTCAGCCCACCCGACTTAAAATTCCCAGCTTCCCACAGCCACCCTTTCCCATACCTCTCACTGGGCGAGTGAACGGGCCCCGAGTCCTGCACTGGAGGTACACGTGGATGAGGGGCAGGAAGTCGTCGAGGCCCTCCTGCAGGCAGAGCCCCGCGCCGGCCTGCCCGCACCACAGCTCGAACCGCAGCAAGTGGGTGCAGCTCTGCTGCAGGATCAGGGCCGCGATGCCCAGGGCTGCCTGTGTCCGCCGGGCCAGGCAGTAGTCGAGCAGGTCGACCTTGACCACAGAGGCCAGCACAGGCTCTCTCTGCAGAGAGCGGAGGAACACGCTGTCCAGTTCGTCCACAGCCAACGTGGGGAGCAGAGTCCCTAGGCCTTTCACGTACTCAGAGGCCCAGAGCTCGCTGCTCGGCAGCTGATCCTGGGGGCTGCTGGTCAACAGCTGGACCAAGGTCTTGCCAAGAGCGTTCAAGCATCTCTCCTTCCCTGTGGACCTCATGGGTCGGTTTGACACCAGGTGGGCCTTGGGCAGGCTCAGCAGGGCCAGGGTGACCTCGCGGAGCTGGGCACCGTCCATATAGGCGTGCAGCCCCTGCAGGGCCTCCAGCTGCGGGAGAGTCTTTGGTGATGACGTGGCCAGGCCCGCCTTCCTGTTTTGTAGCTCCCTCAACACGCTCTGGGTGATGGCCTCCAAGTACCTGGACAAGAGGCCCAGCTGACCAATGCTCTGGAGAATTGGGGCACTTGCCATCAGCAGCTGCAGGACCCCTGCACTGAGGTGGGCCGCCAGGAGCTTCACGAGGACGGGGCTGAGGGTGTGCGGAGGAAGGGCCTGCTGCTCCAGGGCCAGGTACCAGCCCTCCAGTGTGGGATGTCTGAGGATGGCCACAAGCACCTCCTCCAGCGTCTGAAAGACAGTGACAAGGCACAGACCTCACAGACAGCCAAGGCCTGCAGGAAAAGGGCAGCAGTTGCTGTGGGAGCCTTCGCTGTGGTGAGTAGGACAGAGCACAAAGCGGCTCCTCAGCCATTCCACTCCCAAGCCTGCATGTCAGTGCCCTTCTCAGGGGTGCCCACAGCACCCCAACCCAAGCCTAGTCAGAACCGTATCCCACTGTCACGCATCTCTTCCCCCGAATGACCGTGCAGGCTGGACTGCGACATGGTCAGTGCCCCATCCAGACCGCAGGTATCTGACGAATTCAGCCCGAATGAATTTACAGCAGAGCAAAACTGCTCTCCACGGTCACTCAGTGCAGGGGACGGGCTATGCAGAAACGCCAAAACGTGACAGATCATCTGATTCCTCCTTAGCAGCCCTGCCCTCCTAAATAAATCTGGCTGAGGGACATGGGGATCGACTGACAAATGGGGCACAGCTCAGAGACCCTGTGTGTGAGGAAGGTGCACGGGACTTAAAGCTGTGAAGGTCCACAATCCAGAACTGAAGGTGACCCTGTCTCTAACCTCAGGAGAGCTGGGCCCCCTGTGACCCCCGAGGAAGCAGCTCTGACCGGCCACTGAGTAAAACCACTGAGCAGAGAGCAGCTGAGGACTCTGTGCTGGATTAGAGAATAATTTGATTAAGTCATTCTAAGTGGCCTCGCTGAACATGAATCCTAGTCAATGAAGTCACACTGATCCCTGGGAACAAGAATTTTCTTTCTTTACTTACTCTAGAGAGGACGAAAGAGAAGCCTATTACACTTTCCAACTGAACTTTGCCAATTAAAAAAAAGAAAAGCTCGGATCCACATTAGGACTGCTTTGCCCAGGTCGGCCAGGTAACAGGTGGCCCTGCGCCAACAGACACCCCCCAGAAGGTCCACTTGAAGATCGAAGGAAGACAGCCGCAATTAGACTGTGACATGAGGAACGTGTCTGTTTCTTGAAGCCAGTAAAAGGGGCAAAATGGCAAACTGTACGAGAGAGATTCGCCCTGGCCCACTGAAAAGCCTGCTTCACAGAAGAGGGCAAGGCCCACCCTTCTCAGAGCCTGGCGCATACTGTGTAAGTGCACGGTGAAAGGCCGCACCCCCCGCACAGCCTGCAGGCAACGCAGGCTGCAGTTACTTCCAAGAAGATATTTACGCCGTTTCTCAAGACACTCACGTCACACGGCATAAGGGCAACTGCTGCAGGGAGAGTGAGTGCGAGCACAGGGAGGGACTGGAACGATGACCTTCACCCTCCAAATTACACTGTGCTTATCTCGGGGTGGAGAAATCGGGGGTGGTTTTAGTGTCTCTACAGTTTCTTGCCCTTCCCTGTTTTCTGACGATGACCACAGACTTGTTTTTAATGAGAAGTGGACGCGAAGCCCACGTCTGGAACTTTCGAGGAAAAGGCTAGCAAGCAGATGCACAGAGGAAGGGCGGTGGTACCTTGTCATTGGCCAACTCCAGTGAGGCCATGGACTCCATGTCCAAAAAGAGGTCGGACTCGGCCTGCGCAGCCTCGCATCTCTGCTGGTTCTGGGCATCCAGGTGCTCACAGTGGATGACCAGGAGCCGGAGGAGATCCAGGTGGAGCTGCAGGAGGGGTGGCCCCGCGCTTCTGCCCAGCTGTGAGGATGAGAGCCACATGACCCCTCAGGCCGGGCGAGGGCTAACCATCACCAAAACAGTCACTGCCAGGCCCCTCCGTGACCAGAAGGTACGAGGCTGCCATTAACGAGGACGGGGGAGAGGCTGGCTAGAACAGCAACGGCTCGTAAAACGGTGATGACCTCAGTCATTTCCCAGTAAGGATCCTAAATCTTGACAAAACACACAGGCTTATTTTGACTAAAACGAGGGGAAAACCTAAAATCTAACAATCTGTAAACCACATCAGGGACAGAAATCTCACCAAAGAACTACTGAATTAAAACACAAGAGAGGGGCCTGGCCTGGCCAGCCGTGGTTTCGGCCCGCTGTGGGAAGGCCCCATCCTGAGTGACGGCCACCCCAGAGACAAGGTTTGGCTACATCTGGCTCCCCGTCTGCAGCTGCTGAGGGAGTCGCCGGGTTTGCAAACAAGGCATAAAGAAAATGGGCACTTAACCCGCCTCCACACGTCTGTGCGTCTGCTCCTGGGAGAAGAGGCAGCTGTGCATAGAGCAGCCCCAGACTAGATGCCCAGGCCTCGAGCTGCAGGCTTGCCCTGTGGCCTTGTGTGTCAGGTCACCACCCTCCCAAGTGTGGAACGGGAAACAAGGGGACCCCAAGACCCTTATCGATGCTGTCAGTGGATCTAGACTAATCTGGAGAAGGCCTCGGGGCACAGGGGTGGGGACTGCGAGACGGGCAGGGGCAGCGCTGACCTGGCCGAAGTTCTCCACGGTGGCCCTCAGGTAGAGCAGCACGTGCTTCACTGCGCGCAGGACCTGGGGCATTGGGAGGCACGGGAGGGCAGCCCGCAGCTGCGCCTGGACACCCTCATCCAGGAGCGCGCCCTCCTTCTCGTAGGCCGTCTGCAGCAGGGCGCCGAAGGCAGCAGTTGGGGGACCATGCGGGCCAGGACTGCCCAGGGTCTGAAGGGGCTGGGGAGACAGCAGCAGTCAGGAAAGAGGAACGACAAGGCCCCGCAGATGAAAAAGGTACACAGCCTGGTAACACGGGTGCAGGGTGACACCCACAGAGACATTCCGCAACAACCACGTACTCATACTGCAACACCGGTGACCACGTGGCGCACAAATAACTTCAGTCCCAACGTTATCGGCCACATGTGTCTTCCCAGAGTGTTAGTAGCAAGGCCCTGAATCTGGAGGTGCTCACATCGTGAGAACGGTCACTGCCATCTGGAGCTGCGTGGGACAGATGACTTCGCCCCAGGACTCACTGATCGATCACTGGAAACTGGGAGACCACACTCCGGGAGGGACCTGCTCGGTGAGCTCCAGGCTCCCTAAACGTCCTCCCCCAGGAGCCCCAGTTAGAATAGCTTGTTGAGAGGGTAAGAAGGCAAATTTATGAATAAAATTCTGCAGCTGTTCTGCCTCATTCCAAAGTCGTTCTTCTCACGTAATTTTTACACTGCCTTCTTGATTTATTCCATGCGGCTTTTATTTTTATAACTCCAAACACCCCACTTCCTAAGACCAAAAACCCTAGGCTGTATGTGCCCTGAAACTCAGCGAGTCTCCAGGGTGGGGTCCCCCGACCAGCAGCAGCGTCACCCGGGATCCTGCTAAAAATGCAGATCCCCAGGCCCCATTCAGACCTGCTGACTCAGATTTGAGGGGTTGGAGCTTCCAGGGATTCCAATGCACCCTCAGGGATGAGGACCACTGCTGTGACCTGCTCAACAGAGCAGACACTTCGAGCAACCATGAGTGCAGCCCTGAACTGCCCACACCTCCACAGGAGCCGCTATATGGCTGACTCTTAACCCTGGTCCATCATGTAGAGACGGGGGCAACACCAGTGAAGCATTATGGGCTATAACTGCAGCGCCCCATTACAGGAACGCAGTCCCCACAAAAAGAAAATCAATTCTTCCTCCTTCCCTCCCTAACTTTCCCGGTTTTAGCAGAATGGAGCATGCCTGAGGCCTGCAGGGCCAGGGGACAGCTGAGCACACGAAGTTCAAGGCCACGCTAAGAGCCGCCAAAGAAGGCGGATCACTCAGGAAAAAAGAAAAGGCATCTTCTCACCCCAAAGCTGTAATGTAATTAGTCAATTATACAGCAGCCAGAAGGAAATTCAATTCTGCTGCGCCACCGAGTCCTTTGTGTCTCAGTCCCATCAGCCGAGCAGCCATGACACCACTCAGCTTCCTCTCTTATGCAGGGAAAATTAGAAGGTTAGGAAATTTCACCCTACAAGCTGTACCCTGTAAGCGACACAGCTGTGGTGCAGCCAGCTGTGGGCCCATGGGCAGCCACCTCCAGCGTTTCCTAGGAGAAGGCTGGTTTCTGCAGGAGCAGTGATCACTGCCACAGCCCCAGCTCACCAAGGCCTCTCGGGCTGGCTCCGGGATCCAGAGGCTGTAGTATCTGTTGAACTGGGACAGCTGATGGCAGCAAGGCAGGACCGGAAGCTCCAACTTGTCATAAGCCTGGAGCAGAAGACACAGAGCCAGAGGGTCTCTCTGAGTGTGCAGGAGGTCCGTCAGCACTGCTGTCAGATACGTCACCACGCTTTCTCCTGCGAAGGAATGAGATGCGTGCGAGGAGAGGCTTGCTGGGCCCGGCCTTCCGTGATCCATCAGTAACACCAATTCTCACACATACTCGAGACCAGGAAAATTCATGCCAACTCCACGAGGGGTCACACGACCATACTGGAAGGCAGACGCCACCACTGTAGGCCTCACAAGGCTCCATTTTATCAAACAGTCAGACTTCAGGTCCTGAGGCCCAAAAGTGGAGACTGAGGTAGAGAAGAAGCGAGGCCAGGCCACCTGAGAGCAGGACTTGCTTGGTGTCCATCAATCCATTTCCCATTCCTTGACACACAAGCCTCCCTTGCAGTTAGGTTGGGACCACATGACTCATTTACCCGTCTCTAGGCCTGGCCATAAATCCCTGCCTGAGACTGTGTCTTTTTCTTCCCCTTCCACCGTGACCTTGGAAGCCATACGAGGAGACGACACAGCTACAAGATGGGAGCAGCCTGGATACCTGCACTAGCTCCTGAGGGACAGCTACCCAGTACTGGACTATGCGAGAAAGAGACCTTTGCTCATTAAACTGCTGACATGTTGGGCTTGTTACTACGGCAAAGCGTGGGCAATCCTGACTAATCATGCCATTGTGATCTGATCTGTGAGAGCTTCCTGAAGTTCAAGTCACCTGAATACACAGCATATGAAGAACTGATACCTGAGCACTGAGATTATCAGGAATAAATACTGAAAAGATCAGTGTTACGGCAAGGGTCCGTGGAGCCATGCAAACAAATTATTTCAGAGTCATCCTTCAAATGACCCATTTCCCAACAGCTGAGCCAGCCTCTAGATTCCTATCCCTGTACGCTCAGCTCTGCCGCTGGGTGGCTCTCACTATGAGGGGTAGGGGGTGGGTCTGAACTCTTGCAGTCTTGGATTCTCTGCAATTCCAGAGCCCCTGGGATCCCAGCCCCTACCGTACAGAGACCCAGCTGGCCCGATGCACCCATGGCGTCCTGACTACACCAGGTACCTGCTTCCTTTTCTGTCCCGAGGAGCAACTTATTCCTGGCTTCTAGGGCTGCGGGGACCACAGCGCTGAAGGGGAATGTGAGCAGGACCATGTCTTCATTCAGCAAGAATCCAATCTCCTCACCCAGGCCTTCGGTGCCGTCCACCAGGATATCCACCATGTCAAGAACGTCTGAAACAGAGAGGCGGGGACCAAGCTGAGGCCAGAGCCACCAAAGAGCCCTACTGCAAACAGTAAGAGAATGTGGACCAAAAGGAAAAGTAAATGCTGAACTTCTCTCAGGATTAAATGCCTAATAAAGTTGAGGCTGTTGCCTGTAAAATCTTAAGATCACTGCTAGGATACCCAGCTCAGGTGATAATAGGACTAAGTTTCCTCAGGTGACACTAAGAAGCCTAGAAACTTTCACCTGGATATTCAAGCAAACAAGCCAACCTCTGAGAAGCAAAAGACCGGAAGGGTTAAAGCACAGAGGAGGGCCAGAGCGTCTGGATTCAAGCCCTGGCTTTGCTGCATAGAAGGCTGACTGGGTTACTTAACCGTTCTGTGCCCCGGCTGCCTCATCAATATGTAAAATGAGAACAATAATACCCCCACTTGGAAGTGTGCATGAGGTTATATACTTAAGATCTGTAAAGAGCTTAGATCAGCACCTGCCATAAAGTAAACACTGTATGAATAAACACGACACAGCAAATAAGGTCTGTGTATACTTCCCGTCATGTGAACGAGTATGGCACTTTCATTTCCACAGCAGACCGGCCTTGGAAGCAGAGAAATGGGATGTCTGCCCTCCGCGTAACCTGTCATACAACTCTAGCTTCCTGGTGCTGATACGCACTGTTGCTTGATCACCCAAGGAGCACAAAAGAGAGCGGCACCTACCGTCGATGTGGGAGACAGGGATGCTGACGTCATCAGCGTCCTGCTTGGTCACGGTGGCCTGCAGCGTGCTTGCTTCTTGGACAAAGTCAGATGCTTTGTCTGTGTACGAATAGGGATTTGCCACCAACGTCAATAAAACCTGGGCGTTAAGAAGCCAAGTGGAAAACAGTTTAGACAGTCACAAGTGAAATGAAAAAATGAAAAAATATCACTCGTAAAATAAAGGGAAGAGCTAAACTGTTAACAGATTGTAACAAGAATAATTTTTCTGCAGTTTTTTTTTAAATTTCTTATAGAATTTTAAAAATATCTCCTTTTAGTATATATGTCATTACTTTTAACATCACTTTTAATAGACCACGATTGGCTCATGCAAAAACAAATTCCTAACAGGACATTAAATAGCACATAGTAATATTGTCTCATTTTACAGATTCTAAAACTAAATAGATTCTGACGTGACAGTAAGAATTAGGACGTAAACCAGTAAGAGAGGCCTTTTGGCACAGGTGCATCGAAAACGCCTGAATGATACTTAGGGATTCCTCAGTAGAATCACCCTGAACACGCTCCTTTACCCAGGAAACATGTGCTTACACGTTCCAAAAACTGGATCACGGTCTCTCTTTTCTCTTCCGCAGTGTTATCTAAGTGCTCCAGCCACAGCTCCAGCTCCTTCCACGTGTGCTCAAACACCCCCGTGTCCCGCAGAATCTGTCAGGAAGCAGACGGAGACGGCAGTGGAAAAGTCAGCACGGACCCTGCTTGCTGAGGAGCTGCTGTGGTTTGACTGTGCTCCAGCTTGCCACCGAGGCCCGGGGGCACAGAGGGGTCAAAGTTTCATCTAGAGTTTTACTCTAAAAGCTTTTCTTTCACAACAACACTCCCATTGTTGAGGGAAACGAGGAAAACAGCATTCTGTGCTCTGGCAGGGAGAGCACGATCCCATCTCATTGCTGCTTATTACCCTCTTCCTTCAACTCCCACATAATAAAAGGGAAAACATCCAACTGCTACTTACGAGTCTGATTTTCTGCCTGAACTTTCCCAAAGTGCCAAGTAAACGTGTATAATCCTCAGCCTCCTGAGGTACTCAACCCTCAGCCTGTCTGAAATCCTCTAAGATAATGAACCAGTCATGACACATCATCTCAGTGTGGCCCCTTGAGTCTCACACCTGGGGTAAGAAGCACCCACCATTTCTAAGAGAATGAGATTTGTTACGAAGCAGGATCTGAACCTGTGGGGTGAGTACATGACACCTCCAAAGGGCCTCATGACAGAGACTAGAAGTCTAAGCAGCCCCAGGGTGTGAGCCCTGCTACAGAGTGCACCAACAGCAAATGTGACCATGCCAATTCCACACGTCTGCAGTTAGCATTCATACCTGGCTGGGATCAAGTTCACATTTGCACAACCTATAAGGAAATGGCTATGTACAGAAGTCAAGACCTAGATGTTCACATCCTTCAAGCAACTCATTTATCGGCTCTTCAAAGAAAGGTAAAAAATCTCTGCACTCTAAAAATGACAAACATGATTTCTATAGCATCTTCCCAGGATGTTTGCTGCACAGAAGAAACAAGAAACCAGATTTCCTACTGCTGCAGCAAGACCTGATCTAGCCCTGGAAAATAGGTATAAAGCAAAGAGTCAGACTCTTCATTTCCTGTCACTGACTTTGACAATACCTGCTCGGTGGGTACTGGAAGAGGTCAAAGGGCTGAAGATGAGGCATCACCTATTAAATAGTCCCCAGAAAGCCAGCGATCTAATATTTATTGAGCCTAGAATGTGCGAGGCACAACCTAGCACTTTATCACATGTAATCTCCTCTGTAATCCTACAGTTTTATCATTCCCATTCGTATGGGAAAACGGAGCTCAGAGAGGTTAAGTAATTTGTCCAATGTCACCCAGAAGTGGTAGAACCAGGACTCAATTCTAGGAACAGACCTCAAAGTGCACACTTCTCCCACTTCATCATGTTGCCTCTCAGGAACGCAGCCAAGTTTAGGACATAATAAATTAAGACTCATAAAACCTTCTATTTTTAAATTACAATACTAAGATATCCTTAACTCAGCAAACACTGACTAAGCACCTTCTATGAAGGAGCGTGCAAATACTTCTCAGAATTAGGAACTGGGAGAAAACGCTCACCTTCACGATCAGAAGTTTGGTTGACGACTTAAGCTGTGAATGGCTACTGGTCACAAACATTTTCATCAGCAAGTAAAACACAGACCGTTCTCCTCCAATGATTTCTGCCTCTGGGCTTTCCTGGAGTTTGAATAGAATGAAATGATGTAAACATAACAGAGGCCACTGTGTGCTGAGCAAACAGGCACGACGCAGGCTTCCAGGCCTCTCATCTCATTTTAACCGCTGGCGTTTTACGTGAGGAACCTCAGAAGTCAGAGCAGCGGCAGGGAGCATGACAGCCCTCTTCATGCGCCAGTGCCATTCTGAGTTCTTTCCATAGCTGGCTCCCTTTACCCTCCTAATCTGAGGTGGGGACAACAGTCACTCCCATTTTACGTATGTGATGCTGACACCAAGGACGTAACTGGTGGTTCAGTGGCCGAGTTGGGAATCGAGCCCCTGCATCAACTCCTGGTGCAGGCGGCACCGCCTGATGGGAGGTGGTGCAGGACGCGCCCCCGGGGCTGTCTGGCTCTCC